AGCGCGGGCGGGACCGGGCCGGGGCGGTCGAGGTGGATGTGAGGGGAGACGTCCGCCCCCGACGGGCGGCGGCGGAGCCTCGTCGCGGGAGGTGCCAGACCCGCGCTTGCCCCTTGCTGAGGTGGTCCTCGCTCCCATGTCACAGATGTGTAAGATCGGAAGGGCCCTCAGTGCATCCCCGAGAAACAGACAGCCCCGCCCGGTGCACGTCCCGTCCCTCTTGAAGACCGCCCGCCCCGTGGAAACCCACTCCACGGGTTTTCCCGTGAGGGCAGTTTTGGCTGCCCTCACCGTGGAGAAGTTCTTCCACCCGTTAAAAAACCCCACAAAACCGACTGTCACGAGATCAGTTCACAACTCCTACGAATTTTTTTAAGTACTGCATTTGGGTCCTTTTCCTTTGCTTTTTGGTCCTGGAGACGTTAGCGTTCGTGTTTCCAGGTTTGCCTCCAAATCCACCCGCTGTGGGCGGCGGGTTGTTGTGACATGTGGCAGCCGATGCTTTCATATCATGAGGCGGCTCTCAAGCATCGGGGGCTGTCAGAGAGGAAGCCGTATGGGTCCCCCTCCTTTTATGCGGGTTCTGGATGGGCCAATTTGCTCTTATGCGATGACCCTTTTTATACCCAATATTTGTTGTCTGCGAGGTCGCTTAGCTGTCTTGCGACAGTGTGGTGGAAGCGTGCAGTCAGGTGCTCTGTGTGGTGCATTGTGGGAGTGACGCGCACCAACATCTGTCCGTGCTCCTCGTTTGTTGTCTGTGACGTGTGTTGCTGTAGTCGCTGTCGCCATTGTGACAGTGCCCTGCGCTTGTGCGCACTGGCTGCTGTTGGTGAGCACCAAAATGGTCTTGTAAAAGTGGTAGGTGTGGGTCTGGGGATCCATACAGTCAAGGTCTTGGAGCGTGTCCCTTTTTGTTACATTGTAAAGTGGGTTCCCTTCGTGCAAATTCGAGTTATGGCCTGCTTTCCAGGAACGCGCGTACAGCATAAAGTGAGGGAAACCAGTAGTGTCAAAAACATTCTGACTTGTTTGGGTCTTTCAGATCTCTCTGCAACAGAAGAATGGCTCTATTATTTTTCATGGTCCAGAAAAGACTGAAAGTTAAGAGCTGGCATTTTCTGAGGAATCAAATTAGGAGTACCTGTGTGATGGGGAAGCCCCCTCTTTCTGAGACAGCCCCAACCCCTCCTTGCAGGCTTGAAATGCAAAGAGCCCCCAGGTTGAATCACTTACACCTAAAGTCTAGTTAGTTGCAGAATAGAAGAAGGCTTGCTGTGCACTTGTGCAATAGGTGCAGGTCGCTCGTGTTTGCACAAGGCAATCTGTTGGGATTCTTATCTCATTATGCAGGTTTACACTTAGCCACTATAAAAACACACATGGAGTCACTTCTCCCTTGCTTCCCTTTGCCTTGGGGTTCCTGTCCGTCAGGGGACCAGCCTCCCCAGGGCGTGGGCAGTTTCAGTTGTATTGGCAGCCCAGCACTGGATGGCTCTAAAGAAGTAAGCATTGTCCTCTTGGGCGAGTTGCCCGAGCTTGCTTTTCATGAGCCAGCCTCATATGAGGAAGCCTTATTCTGAGCAAACCGTGCCCGAGTTTGATTTTCATGAGGAAACTTCATAAGAGGAGGTGTTCTGGCTGCGCCCAGCTTTGGCTGCATGGGGAACTTCCCAGATGGGCTGTCTCCTCACCTGGAAGCAGGGAGATGCCCGAGGCTCCGTGTGGAGCTGGCCACATTGCTTCTGGTTGAGGAGCTAGTGTCACTTGCAAGAGCACACACCAACTGCAGATGTTTCCTCAGCCTGGCGAAGGGTTTCTAACCCTGAAAGCTTGCTAAGAA